AATGCTGAGTCCAGCGGACCCTCTGCCTGGGGATTTTCACTCAGAGCCATGGTCTTCCTTCCGGCCTAGACTGCAACCTAAATGCCACCCGCATGGCCTACTGGGAAGCCCCTGTGTGGCACTACCTGGTCAGCACAGGCCCCAAAAGTGTGCACAGAAAGAACGGACACTGTGGGCTGGTCATTTCATGACTCAGATGCAGGGGACTCGGTCATGTTTGGGCTGCAGGGGGAGTGGAGCCGACCAGAAGCGTGGAAAGATGATGTGGGCCCTTCTCTCAGGACGAGGCCAGAGGAAACACTGGTCTGAGAGTCCCCTGAGCTGCAGCATATGACTATGCAGGTGGGCACCAGCCCAGGGGCAGGTAGGGCTAAACTCCAGCCTGTGCACCAGTCACAAAACTGTACATTCTCACCTGGGCTGAGGCCCCCTAGAAGGGGCACCATGTCTAATTCACATCAAGGCACTAAATGGACTAGCAGCAGCCATGGAGCTCTGAATACAACGGCCCCGTTCCTCCCCCATGACTTTCCCCTGACCAGGAGCTCCCTGAGGAAAGGATCTCCAGTGCTCAGCACAGAGCAATGAAGTTATCAGCCAAGGATGGTTAAGACAAATTCCAATGAACTTGACCACTGCCCTTCTGCAGTCCTGCACCCAAACAGTGAAAAGCTAGGTGGGGCTATGATGCTTCCTGCAGCTGGAGAAATTTCAGGTAAACACTGGGGTAAACACAAACGGGTGAGTGAGATGTTGGGGTAGAAGCTCAAGAAACCAGTGGCAAGTCTTTTGTGCGCACAGGTTAGAGATGGAGGGGAAGGTGTGTCGGGAGTGATTATCCCAAATCCTAATGCAGTGGTCCTCAACCTTCCTAATGCCGCGACCCTTTAATACAGCTCCTCATGTTGTGGTGACCCACAATTTCATTGTTACAAATTGAACATAATTAAAAGCATAGTGATTAATCACAAAAACAATATGTAATTATATATGTGTTTGCCAATGGTCTTAGGCGACCCCTGTGAAAGGGTCATTCGACCCCCAAAGGGGTCGCGACCCACAGGTTGAGAACCGCTGTCCTAAAGGGTCTTATGCCAACTCCAAAGATTCCAGAGGAAGACGCTGGAGACCATAGGCTTGTGGTGTGTTGTCCCAGCATCTCACCAGCGCTACAGCTGCCCAGGGAGGTGCATACAGCCCGGCAAGCTCTGGTAGGGGCTTGATGCCTACGGCCCCTGCAGCTAGGACCCAGGATCTGGCCAGGGGGTGTGACTGCCCTGAGCTGACTTGATCCTCACCTGGGGAGGGGTCCCTAGGGTTGAATCTTCATGAGATTCAGAAGTGAAGGGCTAGTACAGTGCCAAGCATGGGAACGGGGTAATCTCATCATGGTAAATGGTTGCCCAGTCCACCCCAGGGGGCACTGGATGGAAAAGGATTGAGATTCAACTTATATCATAAAATGTTGCTATCTCCTTTCAGACAAGTATGGGATAGAAACAGAAGGAAGCAGGGTAGGACCCAGGGTCTGGCCAGGGGGTGTGACTGCCCTGAGCTGACTTGATCCTCACCTGGGGAGGGGTCCCTAGGATTGAATCTTCATGAGATTCAGAAGTGAAGGGCTAGTACAGTGCCAAGCATGGGAACGGGGTAATCTCATCACGGTAAATGGTTGCCCAGTCCACCCCTGAGGGCACTGGATGGAAAGGATTGAGATTCAACTTATATCATAAAATTCTGCTGTCTCCTTTCAGACAAGTCTGGGACAGAAACAGAAGGAAGCAGGAATTGAGGAGAGAGCATCTTGCTCCATAAATCAATGTACTTGCTAGGGTTTGAGGTAAACCTCAGGTATCGGCATTCACAGGGGCTGTGAGTTACTGGAAGTCCTATCACAAGCTCTCCTCCCGCCACCCCCACAAGGCTCAGCAAATACAAGCTCTGTCCTTTTGTAATAATCGGGCCCCAGGGCTGAGCAGCTCATGCTAGCTATGGCCACACCTTGACATCAGGCAACCCTCCAGAGGCCCAGGAAGGGCCCTGCCCAGGCCTGGGGTGGGGAAGTGGGAGCTCTCCAAGATCCTGCCACCTTGGGGGTCTAATGAGTCCCCTGAGGAGGCAGCCAGAACAGGGTCAGGGGCTCTGGCTCCACCCACTGAGCCAGAAACTACAATGTTCACAAATTCTTAGGAGGCCAGAGCTGGGAGGACCCTTTGTGATCATGGGTCAAACCCCATGGTTTTCCAGGTGAAGAACTGAGGTCCGGAAAGGGAAAGACACTTGCCCAAGGTCACACAGTAAGTGAGCAGCAAAGGCCAGACAACAGAGACCTTTGAACACTTTCTACCTCATTATTTGCCTGTCCTGTTGCCCTGGAAACACCCCAGGTCTCCATCACACCAGCCAATGGGTACTGGGCCCCCATGACACTGCAGGGGCAGAGGGGGGCAGGGGGAGGGATCATCAACTCCCCATGGAAACAAAAGGTTCCTTGCTATGCAGCAGCCCCTCCCTTTTAGGTGAGGGCACCCCGATGGACCCTGCCCCTTTCTGGGGAAGGACCCCTTTTGCCTGTGGGTATGGTGGCCACAGGTGCTGCCTCCCAGCCTATAGGCCCAGCCCAGCCCAGCCCTGAAGAACTGCAAGGTGGAGGCAGGAGGACACCGGTGTTCCCTGCCAGGCTTGCTTCCCATGGCATCGCCAGTCACAGGTCCCCAAAGAAAGGAAACAGGACAGATTCACCCCTTTCTGCCCCTGCACCTATCTCTCAGAGCCACCCTTCAGGAAATCTCTGTAGCTTCCACTCACTCTGCCTGGAGCAGGGGCAGGGGGGTGCTTTCTGAAGACCCCTCCTTTTCTCTCTCTATGTGCATATTTCTAGGAAGGACACACACGTAAGATACAGGGTAGCTAGGAGGTTATATCCTGACAATACTGAAATAGACTACAGCTGGCCTTAGACTAGCTAACTGCTGGTAAGAAGTCGGTCCAGTTGCTCTTGTCCACTCCTGGGGTCTACACTAAGGTCACTGTCAGACACAGAGGGACAGGGGGAGGAGGGGGGAGGTGTTTAGTGGGTCAGCACTGCAAAAAGGCATTGAGCATTCTATCCAGTCTGTCTACCCGGCCAGAAGAGCATGGCCTTCACCATGGGCATCTTTTAGCTGCCAGACTGTGTTAACCACCTGGGACTGTGGGCATTCCCGCACACATCTGGACCCCTCAACCCCACCCTTCCAAGTCCTGTGTCCTACCGTCCCCCCCACCCCACCCCGCTCCCCATCCCAAGTGAAATTCCAAGGCCAGAGCCATGGTGGCCTTTCTGGGGGTCAGCAGGGAGAGGATGGAGAGGTGACTGCAGTGACAGGGTTATGGTGGTGCACGCGGCCCTGTTGGCGTGGAGATGCGGGGCCCATCCTGAGGCCAGAGGTTCACCACCACAACCTGGAAGACCACTGGGCCCCTGGTAGAAACTGGAAGAACAAAGGGGAGGGGGCACCAGAACAGGAAGAAGACAGGAAGCAGCCTAGTGCAGGAGGGCGGACCTGGGGCTGCCCGGCGGCGGCCGGCCCCGGTCTATCTGTCGTTGAGCTGTGGAGAGCCAGTACCATCCTCCTCCTCCTCCTTGTCGTCCTTCATGCCTTTCAGTCTCTGCCGGGCAAAGTCCTCAAACACAATGTCGTCGTCGCTGGTGGGAAAGACAAGGGAAACGGGGAGGTGTTTGCAGGGCAGGGAGCGTAGGCGTCCTCAGAGGGGTCAGAGGGCCAGCACGCCGGTGGGACTTAGACCCTGAGCCGGCGGGCTGACCGCGGGCAGAACGGCCTGCCAGGCTGACACACCTGGCCACACCTGGCCTCCAGCCAGTTGTGGAAATCCCGGAGGAAGGCGTACGTTTGCCTTTCATGCCTACGGGCTGAAAAGTGACCGGCTCTTGAGGCACGGGGGGGCGGGTGTAGCTGGGCTGGGACCAGAGGAAGCACTCACTCCCACCGTGAGGCCAGGCCACCAGCAGGTCCCCAGCACACTCTGGGTTCCCCAAGAACAGGCCCAAGGAACCCCCCCACCCCAAAGAATTCCCTCAGGAAGCCTTTTGGTTTCTGCACAGGAAGGAGCAGCTTGACTTACTGGGAGAGAAAACCGCGAAGGCCCTTTCTCCAGGAAAGTGCCTGCTCACATTCTACCCCGAGAGGTCTTGGAGAGGAGGGGTTTTGGGGGTAGAAAATCTAAACAGGGGGGCAGAGGAAGGGTGGGTGGAGAAAGGGGGTGCCCGAGTGGGTTTTAGGACTAAGCACTGCTTCCAACAATGAGTTCCCTTCTACTATGAAACATGTCCCCTTAGGCCCACCCGAGTCCTCTGTCCCCCAGGATCCAGCCAGCAGTGTGGGGTGTTCGCCTGGGGTGACTTGAAATCCCACATCCCAAATATCTCCTGGGAGACAAGGGGAGGAGCGGATTTGGAGCTGGAACGAGGTGGTTCCTGATGCTGGCCCAGGTCCTCCCCCGCTGGCAACTGTCCGGTGAGCCGGTGGCCTTTGGCCGCAGGGAAATCCACATCAGGCCTCAGGAGTCAGAAGCAGTAAGAACCTCCCCCACCTCATAGCCTGATGTCACTGGTCGCGCGTGGGTGGGACATGAGAGCCTCAGCCCAGGGCCATGAACCAGCCCTGTGTGAGCCAAGCAGGTGCTGTGGACAGACGGATGGACATGCAAAGGATGAGGGAAGAAGACAAACCGCTGAGGCAGGAGGAAGAGGAACAGGCATGGAGGGTCCTTCAAGTCACATGCAGGCAAGCGGCTTGCTCAAGAGGCAGCAGAGGTGGCTCTCAGCAGAGGGGGTTAGCCCAGCTGCTCCTCAGGGGTTAATTAGCATATATGCAAATGACCTGTTGCCCCACCCACCACCCAACCTCCTGCTCCCCAGGCATCTGCAGGCAAGGTTTGGCTTACTTTGTGTCAAGTTCTATGAGGTTGGTATCTACTGGCGCCTCGTTCTCTGGAACTAAACACAGGATGGGCAGGCACCCATGGGTTACTGTGAGTGGGTGTGGGGCACAGGTCCCCGCCCCAGAACACCCAAGCTCAGATGAGGAGGATAATGGAAGAAGGGAGCGGGGAAGGAAGGCTGGTCCCTGGTCTCAGAAATACGCCAAAACTTCCTAGAGGCAGACTAGAGGCTCAGGGTGGGTCCCAGAGGCCCCCTGCAGCCCCAGGAGAAGGAAAAGCCTCCGGACCCTGCTCCTACGGGCTTATTTCCAATGTGACGGAGGTTCATTTCCTCCAGGCGTCCCTTTCACCTACTCTAAAACAGCCGTTTTCCTCACATTTCACATCTCTGAATTTGGGGTGTTTTTATAATCAACAGCATTGCATGTTCTCATTGTGGGAACATTCTTCTTTCTTCGTGGTACATACTGGTACTATGTCTGTCTCTTTTGGCTGAAATAGTCTTCATGAAGTAGGACCAATCTGGAATCTCTTGGACAAATTATGGGAATGGTGTCCAGGGGCCGCCTTACCCATGGAGCCTTCTCTCCTACATCTGGATGCAAGATGAGGGTTCCAAGCATGGCCAGTGGCCCCCTCTACTCCCAGCCTACACCCCCTTCACCCCCCCCCCCGCCCATAGAGAGCAGAGCCAGACCCCTCTGTCTCCTGGGGGGTTAAATGTAAATAGGAGTGTGGGCCTCACAAAAGATCCTGGGGAGCTGGGGAAGAGGGGTGACCCTGGGCTAAAGGCTGAGGAAAGTGGGGTGATGGGGAAACATGGCAGCTGATGGAGAAAGGGGTCGGCTATCTGGGAACCCCCACCCCAGTGACGCACAGATCCTGCTCACCTTCCCGATGTGGGGGCTCCTCTTTGGGCTTGGGGTGCATTAGGGTGAAGGGCAGTTCCACGGACACATCACTGAAACAGAGACCCAGACCCGGTGAGCCCCGAGCCCAGTCTTTGGTTGTGAGACTCAACGCTGTCAGTTTGAGGGCAGGGGAGGGTTTTATGGCCAGAAGAGGTAGCTCTGGGCTGAGAGCTAGGAAATCTGGCCTCAGACCCTGGTTCTCTGAGCCTCAGTCTCTCTGGAAGTTGAACTGGGAGGCCTCTTCTCCTGGCTCCAGAAGGAATGGAAACCTCCCCTTCCCTGAGAAGGGTCCCTGGATGCCCACGAGCTGGGCGGAGACACAGGGGTGGGAAGAGGATGGCTGAGGACGGTGTGTGCATCTTGGTCACTGGTGGTTCCAGAGGTGGCAAGGGGTCCTGCTAACCTCAAGTCACCACAGCCATCTTGACTCCGCCCTTCCCAACTTCCTGGTTGGAACTCCCCTGACCCTCACTCCGTCCCACCTCTCAACATCTCCAGGAGGCTCCACTGAAAGTGCTCAGGTGGCCCTCACCCCCTGAGACTCTTCCTCTCAGCTTGGGGGTCGGGGGTCGGGGGGGTCACCTAGGAGGCCCTGCCAACTGTGAGGGCTGCCAGGCACATCTCATCTCACTGACCTTGCTGCCCAGGGCCCTGCTCAGAGGGAGAAGGGACAGGGAGACAGAGGGGACAGACGGCCAGAAAGGTCTGTTCCGCCAGCCCCACCACTCAGTTGGCAGCACTTTACACCTTTAAGTCTCACTGAGCTCATCTGGAAAACGGGACAGCAACACCTAAGTTCCAGAACCACTAGAACTCCCAGAGGATGGTGCAGGTAGAAGGCTCGGTTACACAGTGAAGTGTGCGCCTGTCCAAATCATGACTTCCCCTCAGTAAGAACATGGAGGTTTCATAAGGCCGTTGACACAATGTGGCTCTCATGCCCGGCTGGCATGGCTCAGTGGTTGAACGTCAACCTATGAACTGGAAGGTCACGGTTGATTCCCAGTCAGGGCACATGCCTGGGCTGCAGGTTCAATCCCCAGTGTGGGGCGTGCAGGAGGCAGCCAATCAATGATTCTCTCTCATCATTGATGTTTCTATCTCTTTCTCCCTCTCCCTCCCCTCTCTGAAATCGATAAAAATATTTTTAAATAAATATATTGGCTTCCTCTCTCTCTCTCTCTCTCTCTCTCTCTCTCCTTCCAAAGGAGATTGCTTTCCCAGGTGCACTTGGGATATCTCGGAATGGAAGCTGGTGGAAGACCGAGTCGGCAGCCTTCACTAAAGCCGTATAGGACACAGATGAAGATTCCGGACCTTAACCTCCCACCTGACCCTGAGTGATCGAGGGCAGGGGGTGCGATGACCCCTCTCTGGAACCTCAGCACCCAGCACGAGGCGGGGCACGAGGCTGGGTTCGGAAATCTTGCCTGAAATGCATTGAACTGAACTGAACTGAATTGAACTTCACTTCGGCAAAAAATGGACTGATTTCTTGGGGCGGGGAATACTGCCATCTTGTGGCAGAAGGAGGCAAAACCACTGCGTTTCTGGAAGGTTAGTGGACCCGGCTGGTGACCAGGGAGTCTTGTCCACAGAAGCCGATCTCCACAGGCCCTCTCCTTAGCCACTCGGCCAGCAGTTTCTCCTGAGTGCAGGAGTTTGAAAGCCACGACGTGGGCGTCTCCTCACAGCATCCTATCATTCAGACTAATGGGGGCTACTCCCTCCCTCGGTAAAGCCGGCCTTGCCGTCTGCAAAGGCCCTGGTCACTTGGGCGTAATGCAAGGGCAGCGAGAGGTTTTCAAAGGAAGGACCGCACCCCCTGGGCTCCCGGGAGAGGGCTCCAGTCCCAGTGCAGGCCTGGGCCCGGCGGCTGGAAGATTCCTTCCGACCGCGTGCCCTGCCGTTCTGAAAGGTGGGTCAGTCAGGTCCAAGGGAGGGGCTTTACCTGGACGCAAGGTCTCCCAACAGGCTGGGTGGGTCAGAGGAGGCGGGAGGAGTGGTCAGGAGAGAGTTCAGAGGAAGAAAACAGAAAGCATGTTCATTCACCACCTCTGCTGCCCGTCCGTAGAGAAGACCCTGGGACACACTCCCACCCACCCCTGCGTGGCTGTGGCTGCTCTTTCGGGGACACACGGACGGCACTCGCCCTTCCCTGGGGGCTGAGATGTGGTCACGCTCAGCCACACCCCCTACAAGGCCTTGCTGAGCCCCAGGATCCATGTCTGCAGCAGAGACATGAAAATTAACCAGAGTTGCCTCTCCTGGGAGGCCTCTCCAGTGAAGGAAGCATTTGGGGTTCACCCAGGATTTCTCCGGGAAGCAGCTCGTGGCAGCCCGGGTCCGGCAAGAGTCACAGGACGCGGGACCTGGGTCTGCGATTCTGAGAGGGTCTGTAATTTGCTGTCAGTGTTACACGCTGCCACCTGCATGAGGCATTGTTCTCATAATCAAGGGGTCGGACATCTAATGTTATTCGCTTTCCATCCTTTTTGTAGAAATGCATGAATTAGAAAAATATCCCTGTGGCAGCTCTCTAAATCCAAATCAGAAACCTCGGTTTATAACCGCACGCAGGTCCAACATGTGGGGGGAGGTAGTTCCTTCTGAGCGTCCCCTGCCCCAGACTGTGCTCCAGGGCGGGGAGTACGTCTGGCCCACGGCCATGACCCCACCCCTTCCACCCCCATGATCAGAGCTTAGGCGGGAGACGGCAGGACATGTTTGGGGAACTGTTTGGGCTTCCGTTTCTCCATCTGTAAAATGGGACGTCAGAACACCCCAATCCAGCTGTGGGAGTCTTGGCCCCTTTTGCCATTTCCCCAGCAGATCAGCATGGGCATGAGTGGGGGTGGGTGCTGTGCCCTCAGGTAGGATGAGAGGCATAGAACCCCCTGGATACCCACAGCATAGACTCTGGGAAGCCTCCCCCTTCCCATGAGCATGGGGTTGGGGGGGGGGATAGGAGAGAGTGGGGGGAGAGAAGGAGGGCTAGATGGGAGGGGCAAGGAAGGGGCTGGAGGCCTCTGAAGCAAGAGTCAGGGGTGGACACAGACAACAGGGGGGCGAGGGCATGAGTGGGGGGTAGGGGGTAACGTGGGGATAAGGACACATGTAATAACTTAAATAATAAAAAAAATTTTTAAATAAGAAATGCTAAATAAAATCAGAAGTTGAGCTATTTATAAAAAAAAAAGAGAGTCAGTGGGCAGGGGAGAGAGAAGGGGAGCAGGAAGGGAGAGGGAGCAGGAAGCCCTGAAGCATGGTTCGCCCTCACAGGGGATGCAGCTACAAAGTCCAGCGAACAGGCAGGACTGACAGGCAGCAGCTGCAGGGGTCAGGGCACGCCCTCTGCACCAGGGGTCCAGGCGGAAGGAGCACTCACCCGCCCCGGGACACCACCAGCTTCACTTTCACTTTGTAGGAAACAATGATGCCCAGGATCTCTCTGTTGGCTCCTTCCCTCAACCTGCAAGGCAACACAGGGAAGCGGGTTCAGGGGCGTCACTGGGCGGGCAAGACAGAGGGGGGCGGGGGGAGCCACCTGTCCCTCTTCTGGGCCACTCAGCCGCCAGGAGCATACGCAGCAAAGTGTGAGAATGGTGAGCTCTGCCTGGGGGTGTGGGAGCTTGGAACCCCTGCCTTTGAGGAGCACCCCCACACCTGCCCTCAGCCCTCCAGCCTTCCCAACTCCTCCTGATTCAGCCTCTCTTGCTGGGAGAGCTACTCCCTCCCTTGCAGCCTCAGGGACAAACCCCATAGACTGAAGGCACTAGGCTAGGGTTTGCGGCCCTTTGCAGGAGCCTCCCCAGGACGCTCTCCCCCAGGCAAGAGCGCAGCCCTCTCGGCCTTGGTTGAAGGCCCATCCTGCTCTCTGGGTCACTCCTGGATGGGGGGCGGGGGGAGCAGAGGGGCAGCTTCCCTGGCAGCTTAAGCTCCCAAGGATGGTCCCTGGGCCACGCTTGGGAAGAGGTTAACCCAGGCCTGGTGCTGGCACAGGTGGGGCCAAGGCGGGTGTGGGCCCCCTGGTCTGGGGGCGCATTTCAGAGCCTGGAGCTAGGGGGCCGGTCCTCACAGGGTGCTGGAGGCCAGGTTCGTGTCTTCGTGCTTGAGCTTCCCGTCCAGGGCGAGGCCCCTCTTCTCCCGATTGTTGGCCAGGAAGGGGGTGAGCGTGTAGACCTTGCAGAAGGTTGAGCTGGGTGCCACTGTGTCACTGGGAAGGAGGGAGGCAGGTGTAGGAATGTCCCCCAGAGCCAACCCCAGCCCAGCCGGGATGTCTCCGAGACCACAGAGTAACGTCTTAAAAATGTTTTGGTAGCTGACTGCTACCAAACTGACTGCTACCAAACATACTGACTGCTATTACATGTAAATAAACACACACATACAGGAAAAATTAAACGAAATGCAACTACTCAAAAATCTACATGCAGGGTCAGGAGGAAAAAACAGTGTGTCTTCTCATAGGAGCATCTACTTCCTTCAGGTGAGAAAAGAATGTTCCACTTTAGACCTTTCTTCTTTCCTTAGCTGCTAACAAGCTTGGAACAAAGCTCCATGCTCAAGCATAATAGCTCTCCTCAAATCTAGATTTTTTTTTAAATAATTGCTCTCTACCCTCCCACCTTTTACCCAATGAGCTGGATTATTCCTTTACAGACTAGAAAAACTGTGTACCAAGTGCCTTAACCTCTTTACTTTGGCTGTCAGGAAACTCAGAACAAGTATCTCCCTTCAATATGGGATTCAGGTACAATATAATTATGACCACAGTTCCCTTATCGTCATTAGCTCTTGTTTTGTTATTCTAGTTTTTTAAATTTATTTTTTATTGACTTCAGAGAGGAAGGGAAAGGAAAAGAGAGATAGAAACATCAATGATGAGAGAAAATCATTGATTGGCGGCCTCCTGCACGCCCCCCACTGGAGACCGAGCCCACAACCCAGCCATGTGCCCTGACCAGGAATCAAACCGTGATCTCCTGGTTCATAGGTCGATGCTCAACCACTGAGCCACACCAGCTGGCTGTCATTCTAGTTCTAGTGGGTCTTTTCCTTGACTGTAGTATGCATTTTCTTGCAGCTAAATCAAGTGAATGTTTTTTAGAGGTCGGTCAGGCTCATCTACCAGGAGTGGCGAGGAAGTCTGAGGCCCCGCCCTCTGCCAGAGGCCTCTGGACCTGTAAGTGGACCCAGGGTTTCTCTTCCCCACCCAATCCCCACCCAATCCCATTGTCCAAGCCTGGCCTTCCGCTCACTCACTCGGCCTCCTCCATGGCCACCGGGCACTTGTACTGGGCGGTGTTGAAAAGGCAGATGTCTGCATACTGGCGCACTGGGGAGGGAGAGGGAAACGAGGTGGTGTGAGTCCGGGTGCAGCTCCCAGGCATCCTAGGCGCCCCTGAGTTGGGGATGTTCAGCCCCGGGCAATGGCCAGAGTCCACTGGGGGCTTCCACAGGAGACCGTCCCCCTCCCCCACCCAAAGGGCAGCCCAAACAGACCCATTCCCTTCCATTCCCCTCGGGGACAGCTTTGCCCCGGACCCAGGAACCTGAGAGGAGGCGGCTGAAACAGTAAACTCATTCCCTGGCCAACCAGCAGCCTCCGAAGCCTTCCCCTTTGGCTGAGAGCAGCCGTGGGCTCCCCTGCAGCCAGGCGCTATGTACAACGCTGTTCACGAGGGGAGAGCCTTCGCTACCCCTATCCTTGGGAGGAGTGCCCCTTGCCCGCCCCCCCGGGCTGGCCCTCTGCCTGGGGTACCTGAGATCTTGATCTTCTTCACGGTTTTGTTGGTGTTGTTGGTGACATGGACATTGACGCTGATGGGTTCTCCGTGGTAATAGATCTGGGAGGCGTAAGAAGGGAGAGGGGTTGGATGGGAGGACACCAAAGCTCTGGGGGGAGGTGGGTACGGGGGGTGGGGGAGAAGAGGCCTCACACACATCTCCTGGGGCTCCCCAGACCTTGGCCACTCTGACACTGGCCCTAGTTCATCAGCCACTTCCTACTGATGCTAAGCCATCAGGCATGTTAGACTTTCGCTCCCTCCTTTATGGGACCTTGAAAGACAATTACGTTGGAAGGTGATATTCCTGGGCTCCGATCCTGGTTCAGCACCAGAAACAATAACGACAATCAGAACGAGAGCGGTGGACTTGGGCCGGCGGCATGAGCCTCCGCTTACCCCTCTGGGCAATGGGGGAGCTGGACTAGGGGATGGCGTA